AGGCAGCACTGCAGCAGCAGCAGCAGCAGCAGCAGCTCGTGCCACGGCTATGACAGCGAGAGCAGCACGACGCGTGTTGAAGCGCACAGCTGCAGCAGAGCAGCAGCAGCAGCAGCAGCAAAAAAAGCGGCTTGAGGTCCCACAGCAGCAGCAGCAGCAGCAGCAAAAAAAGCGGCTTGAGGTCCCACAGTCGGATCTCCAACTCAAGCAGCAGCCACTGCTGATGGCAGCAGCAGCAACAGCAGCAGCAGCAGCAGCTCGCGATTACCTTCTACAGCTTGAGTGTATTTCCTGATTGTGGCAGTGGCATCTGGGCTCAGTCTCTCTAGTTGCTGCAGCATTTGCTGCTGCTGCTGCTGCTCGGCGCTGCTGTTGCTGCCTTTGCTGCTGCTGCCGCGGCACTCGGTGAAGCGGCTTATTCTTGGGGTTGGCGGCGGCCAGAACGCGTCGCCGTGCTGCTGCTGCTGCTGCTGCTGCTGCTGTGGCGCCGGTACTGAGAAGTCGAGCAGCAAGGGGTCGTTCTGCTGCAGCAGCAGCAGCGGCTGCTGCTGCAGCCCCGCTGCAGCTGTGGCTAACCGCAGCAGCTGCAGCAGCTGCAGCGGAGCCCGCAGCAGCGTGAGGACATGCGGTGCTGCTGCTACATTAGCAGCAAAACTGAGTGGCGATGATGGAATGACGCCTGCTGCTGCTGCTGCTGCTGCTGCTTCCTCCGCTGCTGCTGCTGCTGCACCGCAGGCCCGACGCGCTGCTGCGGCCGTCTCCGCTGCTGCTGCTGCGTCTGACTCAGCTGCTGCTGCCGCAGCAGGGGACAGCGGCACTAGCAGCACTGCGAGCAGCAGCAGCAAATGCTGCAGGTGATGTGCAGCAAGCTCGTCTGTGCTGCAGCAGCGCAGCAGCAACAGCAGCAGCGGCTGCTCCGTGCTGTACAGACATTGCCCCACATAGAGCTTGAGTGCATGCAGCAGGTGCAGCAGCTCTTGTCTTGCTGCCAGCAGCACCCCATAGAAGCGAAACACCGCGTCGCAGCCGCTGTTGCTGCTGCTGCTGCTGCTGCTTCTGCGTTGGCGCTGCTGCTTGAAGGCAGCAGCAAACACAGGAGACACCTGCAGGAGGTGCTCTGCTGCCAGCACTGCTCGCTGCAGCTCTAAGTTGTAGGCCAAGATAGCAGCAGCAGCAGCAAGAGCAGCAGCAGGCACTACGGAGGGGCCCCTCACGCGGGGACCCTTTTGCTTCACCTGCAGCAGCAGCAGCAGCAGCAACAACAGCATCAAGGTCCAATCCGATCACAAAAGCAGCAGCAGCAAGGAGCGCTTCCGCTGCCTAAAGAGCTCCATAGACGCATAGCAGCAGCACACCCACCAGCAGCAGCAGCAGCAGCAGCACGCCCAGCAGCAGCAGCAGCAGCAGCAGCAGCAGGCAGACCTGCATGCAGGCAAAGGCCAAGGCCTTTTGCTGCTGCGCCTTCAAGATAAAAGGAGTCTCCTCCAAAGAGACAAACAAAAGTTGAAAAGCTTTTTGCTGCCGCTGCAGCGAGAAGAGGTCTCCGTAGACTGCAGCACGGCCCAGCTCCACCCGCCGCGCCAAGCTGCTGCTGCTGCTGCTGTTGCTGCTGCTGCTGCTGCTGCTGTCGGGGCCGCCAGGCAAGCCAGTTGCTGCCTTTAGGGCAGCGCGCATGCGCGCATGCAGCTGCCAGGCTATGCTCTCAGTGCTGAAGTCAGGTGCTGCTGCTGCTGCTCGTTTTGCTGCTGCTGCTGCTGCTGCTGCTGAGGGCTGTGCTGCATTCGAAGTGCAGAGCAGTTGTGGCAACTGGAGGTCCGACGCCGGGCTATTCTCTAGCGGCAGCAGCACCTGTTGTTGCTGCTGCAGCCCTCTGCTGCTGCTGCTGCTGCTGCTGCTGCTGCAGAAGGCCTCCTGCAGCAAACTGTTCAGCAGCAAAGGGTCCGCGTGGGCAAGAGGGGCATCTGCCCGCTCAAACAGCAGCCGCAAAACTGGCAGCAGCAGCGGCTCGTCCTGCATGCATGCAGCACAGCCCCAAGTGAACGAACTGCAGCAGCAGCAGCAGCAACAGTGGCAGCGATAGCACTGCTGCAGCGAGGAAGGCCGCCGCACCAACTGGAGCAGCAGCAGTAGCAGCAAAATCCAACGCCGCGAGAAACAGCAGCAACAGCAGCAGCAGAAGCAGAAGCAGCAACAGCATATGCATTGGCCGCAGCAACAGCAGCAGCAGCAGAACCGGCAGCAGCAATAGCAGCAGCAGCACCTGCAGAGAGAAGAGAGCGCGAAGAGCAGCAATTCGCTCTAAGGCGAGGCCCTGCTGCAGCGTCTCCAGCAGCAGCAGCTGCTGCCCGCAAATCCTGAGCTGCTGCAGCGGGCGCACCAGCAGCTGCTGCAGCCGAAACGTCGTAGGCAGCAACTCCTTTTGCTGCTGCTGATGCTGCTGCTGCTGCTGCTCGGGGCGGGGCTCTTCTGCAAACTCCAGCTTGTAGGTGTCATCGATGTCTGGCTCGCTGCCGCCGCTGCTGCTGCTGCTGCTGCTGCTGAGGCAGGTTGCGCTGCTGCAAGTGGAAATGGCGGATGTGGGGAGCAGCGCAAGCTCATTACCTGCTGCTGCTGCTGCTGCTGCTGCGTGCTGCTGCTGCTGCTGCAGTTTGCTGCAAGGCAGAGACTGCCAACCCCGGAGGTGCTCATCCACCTGCTGCAGAAAATCTGTGAGCAGCACCACATCACTGCTGCTGCTGCTGCAGGGACTGCTGCTGCTGCTGCGTGCAGCGGCTGCTGTTTGCTGCAGCTGCTGCTGCTGCTGCAACAACTCGGCCTGCGCCAGCTCCAGCAGTTCAGCAGTTATCTGGAGGCCGAAGACTCCTTCCCCTGCTGCTCCTGCTGCTGCTGCCGATCCCGCTGCTGCTGCTGCAGTTTCGGGGCACTGCTGCAGCAGCTGCTGGAGCTCTTGCTGCTGCTGCTGCTGAGCAGCCCAGCCCACGCCTGCAGACAGAGCTGCTGCACCCTCGCGCATTGCTGCTGCTGCTGCAACGTAGCTGCCTGTTGCTGCTGCGTCACTTAAGCACTGCCGGAGAACGCTCCACCAACAGCTGCTGCTGCTGCAGCAGCTGCTGCTGCTGCTGCTGGCAGCCCCAGAAGGTCCTGGTCCTGCAGCAGCAGCAGGCGCATCGCAGCAGAACTGCTGCTGCGTGGCTGCGGTGCTGCCGCAGCACAGCAGCAAACCGATGTGCTGCAGCAGCGGCTGCGCAGCAAAAGACAACAGAAACCGCAGCAGCCGCTGCAGCAGCAAATCTCCCCGCAGCTCAGCCGCCTGCAGTCGCTGCAGCAGCTGCTGCAGCAGGGCGCCCGTTAGGGCTGAAGCACTAGGCACCCCTTTGCCGCTGTCGCTGCTGCTGCTGCTGCTGCTGCTGCTGCTGCTGCTGCTGCAGCTTGTTGCTGCATGCAACGCTGTCTCTAAAACGAGTGCTGTTTCCTCCCAGCAGCGAAGCCCATCCCGCAACTGCTGCTGCAGCCAGAGGAGCGTCACTGGGCGCGCAGCAACAGCGGGGGGCCCTGCTGCTGCTGCTGCTGCTGCTGCTGCTGCTGCTGCTGTGTGCAGAGTGAAGGGCAGCGGCGGGAGCGGCCCTGCTGCTGCTGCTGTTGCTGCTGCTGATGGACGCAAGTCGCCTGCATACGGCACTTCCCACTCCTGCTGCAGCTGCTGCAGCTGCTGCAGCCGCAGCAGCAGCAACTGCGCATCCCACTGCTGCTGCAGCCGCCGAACCCCAAATAGAAAGGCCTCAATACAGCAGCCCCAGGGCCCCTCTCTTTGCTGCTGCTGCTGCTGCTGCTGCTGCTGCTGCACCCACGCCCCGCCACTTAAGCTCGCCGACCACTGCTGCTCTGTTTGCTGCTGCTGCTGCAGCAGATCCACAAGAGACTGGGGCATCAAGTCATGCTGCTGTTGCTCGGCCGCTGCAGCGGCTGCTGCTGCTGCAGTTGCTGCTGCATGCGTTGTGACTGCTATGGGGGATGCTTCACGGGGCAAGCGGGAGTGTAGCGGCTGCTGCTGCTGCAGCAAAATCTGCTGCTGCTGCTGCAGCTGCTGCAAAGAGTAACCGGCAGCAAACGCCCGACGCAGCAGCAGCTGCAGCAGCAACACCGCCGAAGCCCCCTTCAAGAAGGCAGCAACAGCGTGCTGCAGCGCAGCAGCAGACAAATGCAGCAGCTGCAGCTCCCTGTTCACCTCAAGAACCACAGGTGCTTCCACCCTGTTCCCGCTGCTGCTGCTGCTGCTGCTTCTGCTGTGGGGCAGCCTGCGCCGCAGCAGCGGGCTGCCATCGCCTCCCCCCAAAGCAGCAAGGAGCCTCTCAATTACCCACGCCTCGCTAACCTGCAGCAGCAGCAGCAGCAGCAGCAGTAGCAGCAGCAGCAGCAGCAATGACAACAATGAGCCTGCAGCAGCACTAGAAGCTATAGCCCTTATTTACT